TTTTAAAGTGCTACTACAAGAATATCAAATTTGACGTGTGCAACATAATCTACATACCAGACATATATCAACGATGTAGATATTGATAATACGAAGAATATGACATTGTGTTTTTAAATGTTAAATTTTAGACTGGGGTCAGTGTGGCAGCAACGTTAAGAGTATACACCTGATGATGGCCGATAGAGGCCGAAACATGTAGTGTAGAAAGAACAAGATCAAAGACATATAATATATATTGTTTGCACTTGGGACAGAATTTGTGTCATTTATAGCTGTAGTTAATCAGACATGAGTTGTCCAGTGATTAAAGTTAACTCTTTCTAAGGGACCTAACAGAGTAGTTGTCTTCCCACTCATCTGAGGACAGAAATGGATTCGGTTCCCAAAACGTTGTGTTTTCTAGTTCTTAGAATACTGGATGATGGACAAAGTACAAAAATCCAGTAATTCTTATTATTTCAAAATATTCCGCACTAGTTATGCACTTAACTCATAGTCTGTAATGGGCTTATGTAGCCATCCTGCTGTTATTGTGACACCACCATCATTATGAACATCACACAAGCTACAGAGTCATAACCATAATTAGAAATTATACGGTGTGATTCAGAAGTCTGCCAAATTTTATGGGTATATTAATTAGTTGATTTTGAGTAAAACTTCAAGTTACAGAGAGAGATTTTGAACAATGTAACATATTTCATTATTACACTACACTTATTTTAGTTTTACATTAAGTTGTTGTGAAACTGTTTGTTAGAAACCCTTATTTCTGGTATGTCTGTCTTATGTTTTACCTGATACTACTTCTTAAATTTTCTGAACTAGACCCATGTTACTCAACAAACTTGATTAATTCACGTATGATGTTTGGCTGTCTCCTCCTGAATCACTCTGTATATACTGTAGTAGCACAGTGCAATGTTATACTGTAAGCAAAGTTTAGTCTTTATCTCATCCTATGGCTTGGCAATTTAATGTAACATGTGATACAATACGAGGTACCCAAAAGAAAAACGGAGCAATATGGAAATATGGGATAAGTAGGGGTTAGAAAAAATTCTAGTTCACAACCACCTCTTACTACCTGCCTCAGAAAACATCACATCTCTGTTACAAGACTGTCATTTACATTGTTTAGGAAGACAGACAGACAGACTGACTGACCGTCAGTGGTAACGTGACTCTGACTCTGTTGCTTATTCTGAGAACTGAATGAAACCCAAAATGTTTGTGAGTGGGCAAAATGAATACTAAAAGTAAGTGAAGCACAGAGTTTCAACTAATCTATAATGTTCATTAGTTGCACCCTGTTGTGTGTGTCAGACATATATATGTATATATGTAACCTATAATGGTTCAAGAAATGATTTTCGTTGTTTACTTTCCATACAGTACAGACAATATCAAACTTCCAATTGGTCCATGGAAACATGTGAAAAGTAAAAAATCAATGACTGATTCGATGTTGTATAACATCAGTTAAGTTTTATCTTGTTTTATACAATAACTTTTAGTTTTTATATAATCTGACTTATTGTATTTTTAAGCAAAGTATTTTAAATGATTAATAACATTGTATCCAATCTAATGTACAGCAGTTCAATGGTATATGTTTGTTAATATATGGTTGCCTGATGATGGCCGTTAGTGACTGAAACATGTAGCGAAACCATAGCTGGGCGCTAACCTTGATTTTTTCTGTTTGTTGTGTTGTGACGGTCAATAAAAGAGTTGTATATTGTAACACAACACGATGCATGAAATGAAAATCTTCACTACATTTTATATATGCTGCAATGACTATTAAATATGCTTATCATTCAGAAGTGTGTAAATAAAAATCATGGTTTTCTATGTAACAATGTTGCACATTAGCTGTTTCAGGCAACTTCACACCATGCAACATCGATGGACTTCTTTGCCTTAACAATATATACAGTAAGAAACTTATACTTAATGGTTCTATAGTAACGTTTAAAATTATAATAAAAATAAAATTATCCAGTTGTAGACTGAAAATGACCACAGTAATAACGAGTAAATGCCTACATTTTGAAAATTTGATGAATAAAATGTCACGCAAATAGAACTGAGTCATCCTCGAGTTCAAGTGATGCCAAAAATCCCTTATTACAAAAACTATTATATGATGAAGTGCTATAAAATTCCTTGCATTTGGATAGATTCTTTGATACATTCTAAGAAATACAGTAGAACTTGGTTATAACGTCATCAAAGGGACCTAAAAAATAGTGTCGTTATAAACGAATGTCGTCGTAACCGAAATGGGCACTTCCACAGTAGCCTTATGTTAGTCACGTAAAAATCTACCAAAAAACCGAGTTAAAATGTTGCATTTTTTAGTGAAATACGTAGTTAAGTACAGACTAACGTAACATTAACGTGGAATTGATATGGATTCTCCATATCGTTTGTACTGTAGAATTCACCAAACCAAATTCGCGGCATACATCAGCTTTTTTCCTTCCATTTTCTATTTCACGAATCACTTTAACTTTCTCTTCAATGCTTAAAACTTTCCTTTTCATTGCCATGTTTTCGCTACTGCACTTCTCTGGGTTTAGGCAGGAACACTATAGGGTAAGTAGACAATGTGAGGTCCTGTTAGACGAGATTCTAGGAAAGGAATGCAGTTAACAACCTGCCGCGTCCTCTTGCACTATTCACGCAGTCCCACCCCACACCCTTGTTTTCGCATAAAACCCACGCTTCTCTTGCAGCCCGCGGTCGTATTCTTCCAGGACAGTCACGTCAGCAAGTAGAGAAAGTGAGGGTGGGCAGACACATCGAACTTTCCCACGATATCAGAGAAATTCAGGAATGAAAATGACGTTACATACGAGGTTGATGCATCTGTGCATGTCGTACTAAGCAAGGTATAAAAACAGTTGCTTTATGAGGAATTAGTTCGTACCATTGAATATTTGACGCAATAGACAAGGTGTCGCAGAAACCGATGTTGCTATAACCAAGTTTTACTGTATATATATATATAAAACATGAGTTCTGTAATCGTGAATGCCATGGAACTTATTTGGGTATGAAATCTGGTCTCTTTCTCTGAAAGAAGAAAAAACATATGGGGTGTTTCAGAATACATATGAAGAGCATATTTTGCCCTAAGAAAGAAGAAATAATGAAGGATGGAGAAGCTTATACATTGAACAGCTACTTTTGACTTAATATTGTTTGGCTGATTAAATGAGAGGATGAGAATAGCAAGGTATATAGCATGCACAGATAAATAAGAAACACCAATTTTGGTAATATGACCCCAAAGAAAGATACCACTTGTGAGGATATGAATCAGGTTTTGCTGGTTTGGGATAGACTGCAGTGTTGCTGATGGTCCTCATTATGTAGCACTGGCATGGACCACACAGAAAACACTGCTTCCGACAATTCCTCTATTGTTGCATGTTTTATTCAATATTGCAGAACTGTGTTCACCACACCACACCTCTACTCATTCCACTAGTTTGGCCTTTAGCTGTCATGTCATAGTACATATTTATACCATATATCATGAAAATACGTCACCTGGTTCAAAACTCATGACGGGACAGACAAGCATGATGGTACCACAAGCCATTTTTCTTAGAAGAGCATATGATAAAAACATTTAAATTTTTCATAATTGATTCTTCCAGCAAAATCCATTTTGCTTTAAATTATAACAAAAATGTGATTTAACTGAATGTAAGTTACAAGTGTGCACAACACTAAATCCATGAAACAAAGTCTTTCTTTAGAAGCTGATGGTCATCCAGCTTGTCAAAGAATAGGGAACCTGCGGGTTCATTCTGTATCCAAAAAGGAAACTGGCCTCTAACCTTAGCAAGAAGAACCAGTCTCTCACATCCTATTTCTTTAAAATTAACTTTAATATTATGCTTCAGTCCACAACTACATCTCCAAACCAAGTCAAAGACAGTGTGTAACATTTTGTAATGTGCTAGTTTTTATGGTGAGAGTTGATTATAGAGTTTACTGGTACTAGAAATGAAACACACTCCAAATACATTCCTTCTTAATAGGTGATCTAGTGAAACTGAAGGGAAAACACTCAGAAAGTGAGATGGAATCGGGTATGACATGTGACTGCAGTGCTGACTGCAATGAACCAGACCAGTTCATACTACATGAGGAGAAAAAGTGAGTGTAATGTACATACACAGTACCAAGGCTTTGTTTATGCCTAATGCCATAATATGAGGAGCATTCCATATATAATGCCTCCTTTCAATGAAAACCACAACAGATACAGAAAGCATAATAACACAGTTAAATAGAGCAAGATTTCAGCTACTTACAGTTATAATCACCACCATTCATTATGCACTTTTGCCAGTGATGAACAAGAGCCTATATGCTGCGCCTGTAAAAGTCTGCGCCAGCAGAGGTGAGCCACTTTCTTACAGCTGCAATGACAGCATCATTGTCTGGAAAATGTTGCCTACATAGTGCATCTTTCATAGGCCCAAAGAGATGGAAGTCTGAAGGTGATAAATCAGGGCTATAAGGTGGATGTGGTAGGACAGTCCAGCCAAAGTTTGCAATGTACGTGGCAGTCGCCAAACTGTTTGGGGTCTAGCATTATCATGTTGCAAGCGAAAGGTTGTCTGCTTCTCTGGCCTGGCTCGGGAAATGCGGGCTTTCAGCTTAGTCAGCATTGTCTTATAGTGTTCAAAATTGACAGTCTCGCCAGGCTCCAGGAAATCCAAGAAAATCACACCCCACCTATCCCAAAAGACCATGCACATCACTTTCCTTGCTGATGGCTGTGTCTTGAACTTCTTTTTTCTTGGGGAATCCGGATGTCACCACTTCATGGACTTTCTTTTGGATTCCAGCTTGTAGTGGTGACACCACGTCTCATCTCCAGTGACGATGCTCTCCAGAAACATGTCACCTTCAGCCTCAAACTGGTGCAACAGGTCCTGACTGGCTTCCATTCGATGAGTTTTGTGGTCCTGCGTAAGCATCCTCGGGACCCACCTGGAACAAACTTTGTGATAATCCAGCTTCCCCAACATCGTTTCCAGTGTATTACAGCCGATATTAAGCCGTGCACACAGTTCCCTGGTCATTATCCACCGATCTGTATGGATGACCTGATCGAGGCACTGTTCATTGTGAGGAGTGGCCGCTGAGCAGGGACGCCCAGAGTGTGGGTTGTCGTGCACTCCACTTTTGCCACTGTTGAAACACACTACCCACCGCCTCACTGTACTGACATAGACTGAATCGTCTCTGTACACCTTTCGCAAGCATCGATGGATGTCAATGGGTGCAATTTGTTCGGCAGTGAGAATTTCAGTAACACATCTCTATTTCGTAGGCACTTCTATGTCAGACACCATTTTGGTAGACTGCTCTTCTGTCACTATCTGTCGCATAACAACCAAACTAACAGTACGTTGGCGGGAAGGTTCAACCTTTACTACAATACCACCAACATCCAGCTCAGACGTTATAGATTAACACAAAAAAATAGGAGGTATTATACATGGAGTGCCCTTCATACAAACACCAGCTGATATCTTATTAGTTTGCATCAGTTGCTTATCAATAGGCAATAAAATCATTCAAATTATATAATTTATCCTTTTGTAGTCTGTGGGGACTGCCTCTGTGGTCTATTGGTCAGAGTTCCTGGCTACAGATCCAGAGGTATTGGGTTCGATTCCCAGTGCTACCAGATTTTCTGAGAAGTAGTGGTTCTGCAACAGGTTCCACTCTGCCTCATGAAGATAATTGTGGAGCCATTTCAAGGAAATAGCGGCTCTGGTCTAGAAAACTGGGATTAACGGCTGTGGGGAACCGTTGCGCTGACCATGTGACACTCTCTATCCACAAAAGTTGGCACTGACTTCACCAACAAGTGGTGGTCGCTTGGTCAGTATAGCTTGCGGACTACAGGTCATGAAGTTTGTAATTTGTTTGTAGTCTGTGGGTAATGGTATGTATACCACGTTATGCCTCTTGATTAAGCTTTTCCATTCTAGTTTTAAATTAACTTTCTTCTCTTAGACTGTTTCCACAGAATCATACTTTCTGTTGTTGAAAAGCCTCAAACTGTTTAAAGGTGGCTGGCCTCTTTCCTGTGCTGCTATGGAAAAGGAAGTAAAATTTGTCAAAATGACACAATTCTCCGTATTAAATGGATAAAATAAAACACAAATATATGTTTATGCACAACTCTTTTCACTCAGTGACACAAACCACAGACTTTTACCAGTTTTCTCAACTAAAACAATCCTGAAGGACTAGTTCTTAACATGTAATGCATATATGATTTTTGATAATGCATACATGTCATAACATTTACTTCAATTACTCCTCTATAAGGCATTTCTCAAGCACATACACTATCACTACATGCAACTAGAGCATTTTAAAATGTGGCCACCATTATACCAACAACACAAAAATCCTCAAGGGTATTGAGGTTTGAGACATTATCAAGTTTAATTTCCAATCTTGGGATACCTTACATTCTAGATATTTTGAAGAAGGAAGTCCAAGTAGAACACATAAAGCCTTTCTTCTTATTGCAAAGATTTCTGTTGTTGAGTACTATTGTCACATTAAAATTTGTGAAGAATTTATTACTTAAATACACATTCTACGTTAAATTTGTTGAACATAGCCTCAAGTTTCACATCATGGCCACATTTGGAATTGTTGGCTAACAAACAACAATACGTATACACACAATGTGTGGGTTTATTTGTACAAAATTTCATATTTCTAGTTTAAATAGTTTCAGTAGTTAATTAATCACTGCCATCAAACCAAATGCCAAAGAAACTTTTTGGATGGCATGTCATACATTCAACCCCCCTCCAAAAAAAAAGCAAGCAAATTTATTACCGTATCTCATTTCAGGAACCTAAAGTATGTGTTGCTCCACATCACAAGTTATAATAATCTGCAATGTTACTACCAACTGTAGGAAAATGAAAATGTAGGACCGTGGGATGGAAACCAACGGCATCATGTTCAAACTTTGTGAATGTCTGTTAGCTAGTTCATAAGTTCGGGGGGGGGGCACACAGACACCATAATTATCTCATAAGCCTATTCTTTTCTTAAGAAAGGAAAGTAGGCTAGGAACTCAGAACCTGGCCATTCTTTTCATGCATGTACAGTGACAGAAGCTCTTTCCATATTTCACAACAAACATATCAAAATGTTATTCATAACTGAATATACAATCAATGTTTCTGTGTAGGACCTGAAGTTCTCACAGTGGTGGTTATGAAGATATAACAGTGTTTAGTCTGTTGAAAATCAACAGCTCTGCTTGGCACCTGCCTTCATGCTGGTATCTTGGTCAACTTATTCTTTGATAAGTTTCCTGAAACTTCAGTTGACTTTCAGTGGAATACCCTGCGTTATATCCCAAAAGATATTACTCTTCAGTGCAAGAATATGGACACAGTACATAACTGCTTTAGAACTGTGGTTCTAATGCAACATTACCCATATTGCTTTGTATTTATAGGCTAACAAAGAAATACAGTGAAATAAAGTTTGTGATGGAGACCCTACCAAATGAACGATTACGAAGAAATGTCGTCCGAAGCAAGCTGGACTTGGTTGGTAAGAGTACAAAACATATGTTTGCTATCAGTTTCCAGATACTTATTAATAATCATTTGTTAGAGAATGTTCGATTATCAATTCCACAACAAACCAATTGGCTTCTAGGTACTTATTCAGTTACACTTCAGAAGCCCTTAACCTGAACCTCTAGGCTTGGTCTTATTCAGAAAAGCTGGCATTTATGATTTATGCTTAGGTTATTTTGCAGTGTTTTTTCAATACATATTTTATACACTGTAAACTAGTAGGATAAATAATGAATTGATAGGGATGTGAAAGGAAATGATTGTAGACTATTGCAATAAATGTATAAGGGGTGGGCCTTCTTGGCCGTTGCACTGTGACCACAGTGATCTATTGTGCTTTCGACTACTGCAATGTACTGTCCCAGAATTTTCTTGGAAAGATTATGGAAAGTGATTGGACAATATGTATGAATACACAATTTTGAATTGAGATCTTCTAAGTACTAACCACTCAAATTTAACTTTAACTAGTTGGTACTTAAGAAAATGTAGCCTTCAGTGACAAGAAGCTAACTATTGCACAGCGATTAATTTTATCCTGTCCTCTAGTACCATAATTTGCTGACATACAGAGGCACACACTCTAAACCTTAGCACTAGGTGACGGTGAGTGGTTGGCTTCATTCTGAAACTGAATTATTCCCAGGGAATGAGCCATCCTTGACATGGTAGAGAAATATCATTATACCTTTCGAGATCTGAAACTCAACTGTCCAGGCTTACTTTAGTGACTCATCAGGAGCTGGGAAAGTAAGGCATTACTAAATTTCATGGCCAGGCAAGTGAAACAGTGCAGGAGAACATGGTAAATTGGAACAACCAGTGCCACTCCTACTGTAGATCACAGTGATTTGAAGGGTCATTTAATTACACTCACAACAAGGAATTCAAAAAGATTTTCAGAGAAAGAACGAGAACCAGCAACTGTTTCGCCACGGACGGCTCAAAAATGGAGGACAAACCATTCGTAGGATCCACATCAATAGATATAAAAGATGGTCATATCATGAAATTCAGGATATCTAAGATAGCATCCATATTCATGGCCTAATCATTAGCAATTGCCAAAACACTAGATATCATTGAGAAAATAGACTCTGAGCAAAACTTCATGATTTTTTTGGACTTGGCAAGCATGTTATAAAGCATTAGTAACTCCATTATAATAAGCAACACATTGCACAAAAGATAAAACTGGGAGACTGAAATCACGAGGGAAAAAAAATGCAATTTTACTGGATCCCAGGGCACGGTGGAGTTGAAGTTAATGAGAGGGCCGACTTGGAGGCAAATAAAGCAATCAAAGAAGGCAGAGATAGTCAATTACTATTACCAGTAGCAGATCCTAAAACCCAGAGGAAAAAGAAAGACAAAGAAGAACTTCACAGTTTTTGTCAAAACACCAAATGGGACAGAGGAGAAAGGTACTACAGGAAAGGCTCGTCTCCGTGGTTCCAACAGATAAAAATTAACTGCCATGCCTTCATGTCAATAAACTGTCTGAGAGCGGGACACACCAGCCTTAAAGTAAGCCTAAACAGTTTTAACACTGTGTCCACAGCTGAATGCGAATGTGGTGATGGGCTGCAAACAGAGGAACATATCTTCTGGGACTGTAAACAGTACAAGGACCAAAGAGCAACACTGGCAGACATCTTGTCTGAGAACAGCAAAAAGTATTACCCAAAATAAGTTACAGAGCTCTTAAGGCTACAAAAAAAAAGATTTCTGCAAGGCATCTGTTACTCCATAAACAACATTCCTATATTTATATAAAATAGATATGTAAGAAAAGCAAAAGAAGTAATTGTACTGATTATTTACAGTATACACACAGATTTAAGTCAAGATCCTATATTAACAATCGCAGGGCTACCACTATTATAGAATAAAAAGTTTATTAGAATGTGCTACAGAAGGCCGGATGGGCATTGCCTAGGCCTCTTTTCATAATAACTTTTTTTTTATACGATTAAAAAAAATCTCCTTTTAATCCCATACATTGGTGTTCACGGATATTTTGATACACTGTGTCTACTCATTGACATTAACCCAGGCTCCAAACAACTCCCCTAACTATTTTCATGACCAACAATGGCTTGTGACTTCACAGCTGGTCACCCAAATATTGCATGTTTTCTCCATTATGTCATCCGATATCCAGCTGTTAAATGCACTATTCTAAATATGTGTTGATTTTCAACATACCCATAGTAAAGTGTTTCCCTTCCTAATAAGAATTTGTGTTTCCTATTCTGCTATGAAATATGGCCCACTACCATTAAATGCAGTGTTTAATCTATTAGCCACTTGGTTAACTCCACTATCCATAGCATTGCACTGTGCTCAATACATATATTTTTATACTAAGATATTAAAATTAAACCTCAAGTTACAGCAGAACAACAAAAGCAATATATTGAGTTCTTCATTTTACATGAAATAAAAACACTTGTTTATCAGACCAGTGCTGAAAATACATTTACCACTGGACTCTATTATCTCATCTGTGATGAGTGGGTGAGCATACTTCTAAAGCCCCATAATTATTCATTATGAAACGCCAAACTTCTTTTTTCTTTTTTTCAGTATCCTTAGGAGGGATTGCTGGGTTATTTCTTGGAGCAAGTCTGATCAGCATTGTGGAGATACTTATTCATTTCTTCATAAGGATTTGGACAACACATCCACAAACAAATGATAGCAATGCAACCAAAGATATTCTCAGACAAAGTAAGAAAGATGTTCAGAAGCAACTTTCACATGTACAAAACACAAATACTGAATTTGGTACAACACTTCCATATTATGAAAAGGACTATGGGGTTGCTGCAATTTTCAGCTAAATTCTTCAACATTCACATAAGACATGCTACTGTTTCTGTTTCTGTGAATCTTAGACTTTCTATGTACTGTAATGCATATTAAATTTTTTTTTAACTGGAATGCATGCTGAAGTGTAACAAATAATATGCTTCTTATGTACACACAGCTTTACAATCATATTACAGGAATCTGCAATGTACAAAACATAGTACTATATTTTACTGTGCTAGCACATGAAGAAGATTGAGAAAGAGGCAGAACGAATGTCTCATAGCTGTACGCATAAAAGTATGCTCTGTGGAACTCCAAGGCCCAACACAAAGACTAGACATCTAATCTTGTTGGCAGTAACAACCTCCACACTTCAATCTTACACTTGCAGTTTCTTCTATAGTTCTTTTCCAGTCTCTGAGGTATGCCTTTCATTCTGCATCCTGGAAACTCCAATGCAATGAATTTTACAGCACTGTAACATTGATTCCTCAATATATTCCTTTTTCGCGCATTCTTTGCAAAATTGTAAATGATATGAAACAAAACTGGGAAACTGTCTTTGTCTACTTCATCTGAAGATCTACTGAATTCTGATGAAATTATGAATTAGAGAAGACACAGATGCCTCCCTCCCTGCATCACAGAAGTCAAATTTTGGACTGTGGTCTTCTGGGTTGTGACATGATATATTCTGGACGCAGCCTACACACCTTTCACAACCCAGAAAATCAGTCTATATCAAAGCTGCTGGGTGAATTTAATTTCTGTTCACAATGAACCAGTATACCTTTTATTTCATGTGAAGCTCAAACTGATCACCGATTTTCTAATAAAATGGTTCCTTTGAAAATAAATTTGTATAGATTATAAACTATAAATATCACTAAGAAATAAAACTTTTATTTGAAACATGTTTTGAGTGGTATATACTTAAAGAAACAATAAAAACATACATTCCTCTATTTAGAATTCTTTGTCAACAGAATACAGTTGCGCTATGTTCCAAATATTTGGCACCAATTTCTACCATAAGAATTCAGTACAAGATGAAGAAGGTAAACAACTAAAATTGATTTGTACCTGTAATAATTGAACATCAAGCTCACAGAGCTAGTAGTTAGAAATATTACACAGGTCAGTAATTGATTTCTACTGTCCTGGGTCAAGCTGAAAGTTACAGAAACAACATAACATTATTATTATATATATATTATTATATATACAGCAATAAATCACATTCAACTCTGACACATCTTCATTTGGTATAAAGGCACTTACACTGTGGTGAAAATGTGATGATATAGTCTACTACAGTATAATAAGACAGGGCTGCTGTCAGAAAACTCAATATTCAGTTGTCTAGAAAAATGATACTGGATATCCACAATTCTTGAATTTCTTTGGCAGTATCAGTACATGTGTGAAAACTAAGCACTGAGCATTTTATTTTTGATTTATCACATTTTTAATGCGGTTTGCCTGCTACAGCCAACTCTCGAGGCATTGAAATCCAAAGGCCCAACACTGCTACCACAGAAGCCTGCAATTGGATTCAGTGCCAAGCAAGTTAAATTCAATCCATAAATACCTAACTCTACTAACTTCTGAAACATTAATTACCCTAGAATAACTGCATAAACTTTATTCTGTTCATGTAATTTCTCTCGCTTCCAAGGTGGTTCAATTTGCTTCCTCAACTTACAAATATTTGGTATATATTTTCTTCCTTCAAGGAATAAACTAATCACACCAACTTGACAGATTATAGGCTGTCAGTGACAGTTTTTTAAGTAGAAGTATCATCCATTTCCCATGTCTATTCCTCTCAACTTTATCATGTACCACAGTTTTAAATGTTATCATGGGATATGGTATTTTACTGATTTCTTTCATATGTCTTCTGAAACCACAAAGGCTAACAACAATGTTGTGAATCACATACCAAAACTCAATCACCATATTCTATACAACTAGTCCACAACAGAATCTCTTAGTTATGAAATTTATGGACATGGAAAAGATCTGATTCTACAACTGCACAGTCATGTTTACTAAAAATAAGAACAATAAACAGTGTGTTCAACTGCAATGGCAAAATGCTGCAAGTGATAGCATGATAGCAGCTTACAGCATGACCATGAAGGAACAGCCTATGGATCTTATCTGCAAGCATCACTCGCTCTCCCTATTTACATAGAACCTATGGATCTTATCTGCAAGCATCACTCGCTCTCCCTACTTACATAGAACCTACGGATCTTATCTGCAAGCATCACTCACTCTCCCTACTTACATAGAACTTCTTTACTAACTACTCTAAAAAAGTGATACTAACTTACCATATTTTACAGCAACTGCTGGAAGTGACCACATCTGCTTCTGATCATGCCTCACAGTGCCTAAACATGTAGCATAACATTTTCTGGAGTTAGTCCTCTGAAACTGATGCAATTACACATGCTATGGAATGAAGGTTTCTTCATTCTATATTTATGTTATTTTTCATATTGACATGTTCAATAAGGTAATACTCCTTTGATACACATGACTTTGTAGGAACTTGTACTTGTGGGTATTTACTAATAAGCTAATAAGCTGCCAAATGCACTTTCTGTAAGCTTTCTTTCCTATGAAGGATTTGACTATGAAAACTCACGGCTGAATTATATACCTCCCTGAAAGAAAAAGCAAATTCAAATCTCAAGATAAAATGATCTGAGAAAGCAGAGCTTTTACATGCTATCACACTAGGTTTGTTGACTGCGAATGGGTGTCACCATATATCTATCACAGACAAAACACACTGCTGACTCTGTTCATAGCATTCATACTGTAATGTTTTTGGAGTAGGTACTTCCATGGTAATGCAATAACAGTGGGCCATTGCGTAGATAATGCCGAAACAACGAATGTCTTTTCCCAGAGATGGACAATGAAGGTTTGTTGCGCAACAATGGACTGTCGAAACAGCAGAAACAGAGCCGTGAGAAATGGTGTCTGGTATTCGGTCCAAAGAACACCTATATAAGGGGGCAACATACCAGACATTGCAGAGTTGGGTAGATGAGCACTGAGCCAGAAGTCAATGTTAAGAGTGTTGCAGTCAAAGGCAGTCTAGTATTCACCGAGATATAGTGGAAGCAGTAATTGTGATACTGCAAGTGATAATAATTGTAGAGTGTGTCAGCCTCGTGATGATAATTGAGGAGCTATTTCAAGGAAATAGCGGCTCCAGTCTAGAAAACCGAAATTAACGGCCGTGGGGATTCGTAGTGCTGACCACACGACACTCTCTATCCGCAAAAGTTGGCACTAACTTCGCCAACAACCGGCGGTTGCTCGGTTGGTATAGTTCGCTTGCGGACTAAAATCACGGAGTTTGTTCTTTTTGTTTGTTTGTGAGTGCAGAAGTGAAGCACAATAAATATTTGCTACATCCTTGACAGCGTGAAGTTATTTGTCGTGTGACATACCCAACACATGACGATATGTTTTCATCTTTAACTTCTTACTTTAAATTTTGTGGTTTATTTTAAAACTTCCCAGTGTCTAGACTATGGAGCATCAAATGACAAGATGACTGATGAATTGGAAGGGATCTGGAAAAAGTGGTTGTGTTCTGCTCAAGGGATTAGGCAAACAATGAAAAACTTGAGTCAGGATAGCCAGTATCATAGTTGAGATTAGAACAAAACACCTACTAGACATAAGACCATTACTGCATTATCACTTTGCCAGTGTTACCTTACTGGTCATGTCAATATGAAGAAAAAAAAAATACAAATGTCGAGAGCAGGAAATCTTCATGCCATAACACGTATAGCTGCTTTAGTTTCCAAAGACTAATTCTGGAACATGTCACAAAACTTGGTTAGGCACTGTGAAGTATACTTGAAGGCAGTGATGGGTCACTTACAGCAGTTCTTTCAAATGCAGATACTTTACTTCCTAATCAGTATCAGATTGCCTACATGGCAGCGCCATAGAAATGGCACATTGTAACCTTATGAAGATAATATGGTAGCAAACTTTTATGAAAGATAAGAGTATCAGCAAGATAAGCAAATCACTTCTACCACTGAATAATAACAATTAGTGGGATGACTATAAAATTCTGCAGTTTAAGGTCATATTTCATTCATCACTGAATTACAGTGTTATGTCCTTAGAAATCTGGAAGAACAGAATGATACATTTTCTACTTAAGAAATAGCATGATGCAGTCTTGTATGCATGTGTAACAGCAGTTCAATTGAGTAACATCGACCACAAACATCACATCCAAACTTTTTCTTGTTGCTTTGTTGTTGCTTCTGCAACATCATTGTCAATTGATGCCTCCTCTGGATCATCTTCCTCTCCTGATCAAATGCTGCAAACTCTTTATCTGTATGCACTTTTTCATGCAATGTTACTGAACGTCTATCTATAAATGCTTCATCACAGTAACTACATGGGTAACGTCTGACAGTCCTAGAAACAACTACTGATCCACTTCGATTACCAATGCCTGTGTTTCCAGTAACATTGCTGCTGGAATGGGTTTTGCCTACTTTGTGTAGTTTCCGGTGTAATTCTAAGTTACTGGAATTTAAAAAACCCTCTCCACACTCACCACAAAAATGCTGTGGCAACTTCCTGTAGCACTTCATTCTGGTTCCTTTGCATACTTGAGATTGCTTGTGTTTCCTCAGGGTGGATTTGAGAATAAATTCTCGTCCACACACTTCACATTTATGCCTATGTTTCGATTTCTTTGCAGAGTGCAACCGTCGATGATTGAATAAAACTGTTCTTGATTTAAACATGAGGGGGCAAGAACTGCAGTGGTACTGTTTCTGCAAACCCCTGCAATGGTTCTTGTGTACATGAAGAGCCATCTTACAGAAAAAGATTCTTGCACATGATTTGCACTGATAAAATTTACGGCGAAGTTTACTCTGAGATACCATTAATTTCTTCAAAGTTTTGCAATCCTTCCTAAACAGATGTGATATCTCTATACATTTGTTTTTGTTTGCTAGATTATTACTTTCATCTTCATTAACTTTCTTCTCTTCATTAGCTGCGTAAACCGTAGCCTGAATTTTTTCTTGAATCTTCTGCTTTAATTTTGAAACAAGTGCACTTCCAAGGAGTGAGTGTAATGACGATGTTTCCTGTTAAGGAAGATACAAATGACTATATATTAATGCTTGAAGTGGAACCAAGGAGGAGGGGCCATTGAGATGACAATCTTAACCAAGAGACAAAATAAGGATTANAAAAAAAAAAAAAAAAAAAAAAAAAAAAAAAAAAAATGATTATGGAATGGACTACAAAAAGCCTAGGGAAGCTTCAGATAACCTACTGGGTGACAGGGAACCACACAGAGTGACCAGTTTACAGTGGATGATGGATGCAATAGAATGGAGTCACATCCAAGAGGTAAGACTGTTAAGTAAACAAACGTGTAAAAAATCTCTGGAAGTGAAAGCCTGCAGGAAATGAGATTTTGTAGAGACTATGATACTGCATTCAGCTCCAAAATAATTTATGCCCATTAAATTACACAAAAGTGTAGTAACTTTAGTCTAGAATCTGCTGTGGGAAAATTCTAATGACAAATTTTCTCAGCGTCTTGAGCATGAGAGATTTAATAAGAGTGGAAATTATTATGCATGGAAAGAGTGGTACAGATGAATACAGATGGTGAACTAGGTGGACCAAGGCAGGAAGACATCATGATCTAATAAATTAATACATATCATTATATTTTCTATTATCTTGTTCATAACACTAACAAGTATACAAATTGGACAAAATATAAATAGAACAGAACTATGGTGCAATTAATATTGTTAAGCTTCATTGCTTTATGAAGAATTCTTTCTTGTACTGTAGCCCTTCTTTTAACTGCGAGATGTGAAAGCACAATGTAAGTGAAATAAAAGTAAAGCTATCCCTGTAACAGGCCATGAAGGCCCATAGGGTTGTGAGACGTTAAGGGTCCCACATTATCTAGACAATCGGCTCAAAGATGGCGGTAAGGTTTCCAGCCTTACGCGCCAGCCGCACTTTACTCCCCAGAAAAATTATTTAATTAATTCCTGGTACTCATTTCTGTCAGAGGCTGAGTCGACCCCAGGGCCATAGTGTGGTTGGAAGGATTAGGTCAATTGAAAAAATCCAATGAACTCATTGGTAGATAGCATAATGTAAAATATAATAATAATAATAATAATAATAATAATAATAATAATACACCAGCTAGGACAGCTTAGTGAGTAAAGTGGTTAGAAAGTGGATGACCAGGATTCAATTCCCAGTGAGGGAAAGGTTTTTTTCTGTTTACTTGTGCATTCAGTTTGGCTCTAAGGCCTAGCCAGTCCATCATGTAATGGGTATTGCTGACTCTCTACAGGTGAAGTAGTCAGTGCATCAAACTGGCCACTCACCTCCATCTAATACTGAGGTTAAGAAGGTGTGGAACTTCACACCAGGGCAAACATTTAACTTCAGGAATATGAGGTGTGTTCAAAATGTTTCCCAAATTTGTCTATAAATAATATCTTTCTGTACTCAGAGCTTATTGAATATTGCCCCCTTCAAAAGACCTCTTATACAGCAATGCACCTCTCCCACCGGTTTTTCCAATTTTGGAAGCACTGGTTGAAGGATATCTGTGGTATAGCCTTCAAGTCATTCGTTGCATTAATGATGTTGTCTTCTACTGTATGAAATCTTCTTTCTTTAAGGGTAGTTCTGACTTTAGGGAATATAAAATGATCAGGAGTGGAAAGGTCAGGTGAATAGGGGCATTGTTGAAGGGTAGGAATTGAATATTTTGCCAAAAATTGTCTAATAGACAATGATGTGTGAGCAGGCGCATTATCATGCAGGAGCCTGCATTCCGCAGTCCACATTTCAGGCCACATTCTTTGTACTACATCCTGCAGACATTTCAGAACTTTAAAATGCTGAGATAAGCTCTTAATTGTTTGGATGACCTTCGGAGCAAATTCATAATGCACAACGTCTAGATGTTCAAAGAAGGCAAGCAGCATTTCGCAGCATTTCTATCACTCACAAGTGCACCTCTTGTGTTTTCTTGGGGTAAGGCAAAGTAGAACTCTTCCAAGGTGAGGACTCTTGTTTGGTTTCAATGTTATAACCATAAAACCATGTCTCATCACAGGTAATAACATTTTTAAAACGATTTTCATTGCAATTTGCAATTTGATATTTTCACAGATGGAAAATCGCTGCAGTTTTGATCATCAGTCAAGAGCTTTGGCACAAAGTTTGTTGAGACCTGATGCATTCGTAAGTCTTCCATTAAAATTGTGTGGCATGAACCAATGATATTCCAACCTCTTCTGCAACTTCTCGGACAGTCAGTCGATAATTTCCACAGATAATGTTTCTCAACTGAACAATTAGAGGTTTGGATCTTGAAGCTGAAGGTCGGTCAGAGCACTCATAGTCATCTATTGAAGTTATACCATTTTTAAAAAATCTCACCATTTGTAGGTCATTTGATTCAAAGGATAATTACTGTAAACTTCACACAACATGTTTCAGGTTTCTGCAGCTGAAACAGAAGTTAACACAAGCTCTTTGCTCCTTTACTGACTACATACTCAATGTAACAACAAAACACACTCCATCACAAAACTGGTTATAAAAGCTAAATGGAATGCCCGATCTATTTGGAACAAAGTGGCTTGCATAACTAACGCTTAGGTTGCAAGGTCACTCAAATGACACCTAACATGACTGATGTACTACTGATTTATAGACAAAATTCAGGAAGTTTTGAACACACCAAACATATGAAAATGTGACAGAATTTAAATACCCAGCAACAATATGGACAGAACATACAAGATGCACTGAAAAGGCTCAGGATAGGTTGAATGCAGTGATTCTGTGACAGTGGTACTGAACTTTCTGACTTCAGTTCTACAAAAGTAGTTCAGTCCACAATTTATCAATACACTTAACATTCTCAAGTCTGAAGTTTCTCCCTATACATAATTCAATATTTATGATTCCAGCCACATTAACTCAATTATGCCACTGTTCATTAAGGTAAAAGGTAGGTAAAGCTACCACTGTAACAGGCCATGAAGGCCCATAGGGTTGTGAGACGATGAGGGTCCCACACTATCTAGACAATCGGCTCAAAGATGGCGGTAAGGTTGTCAGTCTTATGAGCCAGCCACGCTTTACTCCCCAGGAAAATTATTTAATTAATTCCTGGTACTTATTTCTGTTAGAGGCTGAGTAAACCCCAGGGCCTAGTGCAGCTGGAAGGATTAGGTAAACTGAAAAAAAATCCAATGACCTCATCAGGACTTGAACCTGCGACCTTCCGGCTTGTAGCATAGCCCCTCAACCGCTAAGCTATCACGTGCCCTACATCTGAATATAATGTGATATTATTTACCTGGAATGGAGAATCCTGTATAACGTGACCATTTTCCTGATCCTTATTGCATACAGTTAGATTACTGTCAGTGTTTACAACAGAATTCCTGTGTAAGAAACAAATGATCTTCTTAGTAGTTGTCAACTGTTTTACACAGAGCTTCAACAGAAGTATACACACATGCATATATGCATTCTCTCTCCCCATTTCTCCCATACACATATACACGTGCGTCGCGCGCGCGCGCACACACACACACACACACACTTAAAAACATGGAGGTGTGCATACGCACGCTCTCTCTCTCTCTCTCTCTCCTTTAAGGTTTCATCTCTGCAGCAGCTTCAGGTCTGAACAGAGAGACTAGACCCTGTCTGAAGCTGTGTGGTCATTATACTTGCTATACTTGCTATCTCCCACAAGTGCAAGTAGAATAATCTGCCTCATGAGTGTTACAATTTTAGAAAGAGAGCCTTCCACCTCACCAGATGGCCAGATATTAGGTCTATAATTGGGAACAGTGATCCAGAAATAAAGCTTAAATCTATTAACTCCTTAACACCCACAGTCTTTCATATACATATATTACGACATATTTGAAAACTCAAACTTAAATATTTGAATCAAGGAACAAAATCTAATTTCTGCATGTTATACATGATATGTAATTTATTTATTAAAGTTTTAATCCATTTAGACGAACACTAAAACTGTGTTAGTTGCCAGTCTCCATTAATTCTGAAAATGGTGAATGGGCAAGGAGCGAAGCCAAGCTTCAAGATGTCTGGCAGAAACAATTACAATATTCCTTTACATACTATCAAAGGAAACAGGATGAAAGATCACACTACAGACAGAATGACAAAAAATATCAGAACAGTAAGTCGCTGGCGCCCCATCAAACATAAGTAACTCATATAGCCACCATGACATCTTGCTTAGTAAAAGTCAATTACTGTAGATGAACATAATTCTAATGGCAATACACCACAACAAAATTAACTTTCTGTCTCCTTCAAAGAAAAATATGTTATTTCAGTAAAACAAAATATGATGAAGTTTAATCTAGACTTTAACATGAATTACGATTTCCAAGGGAAGGGACTAAAACTTCATGTACAAGCTGTATGTAACATAGCTGGCTGTGTGGTTTTTTGATGAATCAGTGTGAAACATAACAATCTTCTGATAAATGGTGTAGTGACATTTGGCGTTATGTAAGTGCTCAAAAGTCTTCATCCATCAACTTTTTGACTATAACATCTGTTCAAAATATCCATTTTGTAACCAGTATGGCCCAAGCACAGAAGTAATAAATATGTTGATAATATTTTTGCTGCTGAAACATGACCTCATTGTGAAACAATTACAAAATATAAAAATCACATACTTAAAAGTCTTTGCCCATTTTGTCTTCCAATGGAAATATTTGTTTCTTATTGCTTTTATTATCTATTGCATTGTAATTTGTCTTTTCTGATACTATAGGATGTCTCCTCACAAGTACCTTCCCTCTCCTTCAAGCAAGCAGCACATAATTGGTTTCACTAGGATAGTCACATGGTAGCATCTCAAAGTAATTCCATATTCCCTGGACTATAGTAACCAGAATCTAAGCTCACCAATGTGCCCACAGAATTGTATACTGCTCTCTCAAATGTGGAACACCAAAACTTACTATTACCATAATTGACANCCGGTTAATCCGCCCCCGGATAATCGAGAGTTGACTGTATTACCATAATGGACCTAACAATGAAATGCTTGTTCTCAGAAAGATCCCAACAAGATAACCATTTGAGATTACTGGAGAAATAATGGGAAGTTATGGCATCAGTCAAAGCATTTCCATACCCAAGCACCATGTCATAGATGTTGGTCTTCATAGAAAACATCCTGTAAAGAAATAACCAATTTTGGCAAAAAATCAGAAGGTGTAACTTCAATTTGCCAAGGAACATGACCACTAGACCAGTAAAAAGTTGGCTAAAATATGGACTAACAAGTCAAACTTCAATATGTTCAGTTCTGATGGCGTGCATGATGTAAGATGTCAAATCACCAAAAATTTGACTTCAAATTCTCCACAATTAAACATGGTGGAGGCATTATGGAGCAGAAGATGCATAATGATATCCAAACCATCATTCTCCCCCATTCCAGTAACAAGATACCTTGCAGCTGGATTTTCCCAAACAACCAAAATACACTTCCAAGCTCCATCAAGAATAGTTTGCCACAAAGAAACTCTACATTTTGAAATGGCTTTCAGATAAATTTAACAAATGTGACTGAGACAAAATTTCTGGGATGAATTATTGATGATACTATTTCGTGGGAACAGCATATTGATTATGTTATTGAAAAATATAAAATATACTGTCCCTTTAGATACGTTAAAGCTAATTTATTTTGCTCATATACATTCTATCATGAGTTATGGTATAATTTTTTGGGGTGGCTCTTCTTATGTTAACAAAGTTTCTATATTGCAAAAGAAAGTTATTAGAATTATAACAAATTCTAGACCAAGAGAGTCTTGTAGGGACATTTTTAAGAATTTGGAAATAATGACGTTCTACTCTCAGTTCATATATTCATTACTTTTATACACAATTAATAATAAACATTTAATTAATTTTAACAATGAGGTTCACAAATATAAAACTATAGCCCTCAATAATTTATATTGTGACATGTTGACCCCTACCTCCCCAGCTGCACGTAGCGGTAACATAGCGCTCGCGTAGTCGGCAAGTAATCACCCCGCATCCTGGTAGCTATGCAACGCGCGGTGACGTCACGAGCGGAGCCGAAGTGAGCCCAGCGGAGCCGACGTTAGCCGAGTCCCCGCAACCTTGAGGCTATACGCCACGTCACACTAGCAACAGCGTCCTAGGCTATACACCACGTCACACTAGCAACAGCACACGGCTATATAAGCGGAATGCACAGTAGCTACGAGTTAGTTGTAAATTGGCTACCACAGAGTTACAAAGTAACAGCCGACTACAGTTGAAACATAGCAGCCTGCGAGTGTGCGATAGCTAAGAAGTCAGCGAGCGGAAGACTTATTGTGTGCTTTCCAGACATAGTGAGTGTTATACTTGGAGTGTGTAATTCAG